GTTTGAGTTACAAACAATGTATTGTCTAAACTTTACTAGTAAAAAAAAAAACCATTAAAATGAAAACCATCTATTTTTATCTTTGAAATCGGTATCAATTAGATTTTTTTTAGAACTAAAATCCAGTCATTTTTTCCCCTCAAATTAGTGATCATAAAATAAAAAAATAAAGTTTAGAATCAAAATTAAATTTCATAAATTGTTAAGGAACAACAGCTTATAATCTAAAAAGTTAAAAAATTAAAATATATATTTAGCTTTAGTTTTAGCAAAAGCATTTATTTATTTATTTATTGTATTTTTTATTTTAATCCTTTAACTTTAATCTTTCTCTTCTTTAATAAAAGTATTTTAATTGGTCATCAATTTAGGCTTACGAGATTGCAGTTAAAAAAAAAAGGTTTATAAAATCACAATACACAGTGATTTATTTTTCGTTGAACAATCCACACCATTTATGAGAGTATTGCTTAATAGCATTTGAATTTTTAGGCAAAGTTAATAAATGCCCCCAACTATTTAGTCAGTCTTGATTTTTCCCTCGAACAAATTAATTTTCCATCAACTTTGTCGCCTAAGATTTGAAAATCTCAATCAAGCTTATATTCAAAATTCTCAGTCGCCCAAGATTTTCCCCTCGTACATCGTTTTATTGAAAAATCAACATTTTATATTAAGAAACTCTAACAATGAAGATAAAATTAGGGTTTTAAAACTCTAAAGTTGGACATAACCATAGAATAATCTAGTTAGATTTGAATAATATTCTCTAATAAGAAACGAAACATCCCAAGTGTTGATATAAGAGCAGTAAAAACCAAACAAAATAAGAAACATAAAATAAATAATTAAAATCTGAAAATACATTAAGATAATATTTTTTTAAGTTTTTTAAATTTAATAATTGTATCAAGTCCAAATAAATTAAATCAGATAGTCATGCAAAGTTTAGGAATCTCGTAAATTTTAATTATATTATTAAATTAATTAAGTTTATTAAACCAGATTCTAAATTTTCATTAATCTTCTAAAAACAATATCATCATTTTTTTACATTTTAAAAAATTAACATGTCCCGCGACATTGAGAAAACCAAGCTGTTTGTTGATGATAATATTAATTCCATATTCTAGAAGCAACACGAGAGCCCGCACAGCATGCTCACCGGTCTCCTCCGCCATATCTACATAACAATTGGCAGATAGCCACCGCCCTTTAATCTTTTGAAGGGCCGTTCATTTATCATCGTCGCTTTACCACTTTTGTCTCTTTCTCCTTTTCAAATCGATGTAAATGCTCAGTAGGATGTTTTTTTTATATAAAAAAATGTTAGTAAGATTGTTTTAAGGTATTAATATTAAAATAATTTTTTTAAAATTTTTTTTAATATATTTCAAAATAAAAAACATTTAAATCTCCATTACTATTATATTTTCAGACACCCTTTTAATATTTATGATAGATAAAACACTTGGGGACACATGCCATGTGCAGGGGGTGGGCGTGCATGGAGCATAATTGAACATCACCAAACTGATGTACCTTAGGATAGATACAATACAACCTTTAATCTACATAACAATTGGCACATAGCCACCGCCCTTTAATCTTTTGAAGTGCCATTCATTTATCATCGTCGCATTACCTCTTCTTTCTCTTTCTCCTTTCCACATTGGTATAAATGCTCATAGGATGTCTTCTATCCCTTTTTTTTTTTTTAAATGCTAGTAAGATAAAAAAATAACATTTCATTGGAATTCAAAGCCCAATGATGACCGTAACGGCGAAGGACAATGAATTAGAGATGTTTTAAACGTGTTACAGTATTTAAAAAAAAAATAAAAAAACATTCTTTATTTTTTAAAATTAATTTTTTTATATTTTCATATCATTTTAGTTTTGATGTACTAATATTATAATAATTTTTTCAAAATAAAAAATATTTTTTTGATATATTTTATAAAAAACATTTTAAATTATAAAAACTACTATATTTCTAAACATCTTATTAATATTTTATAATACACTTGGGACATATGCCATGTGCAGGCATGGTATTTTAAAAATATTTTTTTCACGTCAATCGCATCTTTTCATGAAAATCAATTTCACCGAGTCAATACTATTCAAACCATGTCGATCAGGCTAAAAAAATGAGTTTCGTGTCGTTTTAAGTCAAAACCATCATTTTCAATCAAAACGAGTTCATTGAGTCAATACGGGTCAAACCATGTTAACCAGGGTAAAAAATGAATCCACTAGGTCAATATAGGCCCCACCATGTTGACCGGGATAAAAAATAAGTTTCAAGTCATTTCGGGTCAAAACCATTATTTTCAATCAAAACAGAGTCCACCAGGTCAATATGGGTCCCACCATGTTAATCGAGATAAAAAATAATTTTCAGGCTATTTTTGGTCAGAAACCCTATCCATCGAGTTGATACCCATATAAAAGTTTTTTTAGTGTTCCAACATAATTTTTGGTAATTAAAATTGATTTTTAGTAGTTGAAACAAGCTTTTTCTAATACTAATTTAAGTTTTTAGTTTTACCACTATAAATATTTATTATTATATCTAATAAAACAAAATCAATAATACAAAATTTTTGTCATAACAGGTGGAGTAATTTTACTGATGGTAGGCAAGACAACTATAACATTTAAATTTTTACTTAAAGCGGATTGTGCCACTGTCATTGAGATTTTATGTCACCTCCTAATTGGTTATAAATAGTCAGTGAAAATCAGCCAAGTCAATCACAACCGAAGGATTAATTCATCAACTATACCACAGTTCACAATCTTCAGCTGCACCGGTGTACCATGCTCGCCTTTACACCGTAGCAACATCTCAAACGTTCTCTCTCCTCTCGTCGCTAATCCTCTCTCTCTCATCCGATCTCCCATTTCCGGTCATTTAAAGCCTCCAAACCACCACATAAAGGTTAATCGCCTCCTCTGAAGAAAAATTTAGGCAATTTTCATCTCTCTCTCAGACTCATCTGGTCGGAAAAAGACCGTGATTTTCGTCGGCCACCTAAAGTTTCAAATAGATGATTCTCCCTCATCAGCCATCAACAAAAGTCGAAACGATCTTTATCAGAGTCCTCTTCCTCAGATCTACCAGAATCAACCATTTTTTGGTCCGGAAATCTAGCTAGGAAAATTCACCTCCTCCAACAGTAACCGCGCGCGAGTCATACATGCCACCAGGGAAATTTTCATAATTTTTCAAGAAATTCAAGGGTACTTTAGTTTTTTACCTATACAATAGCACCCATGGAATTTTTTGGGGTTTCTAATGGTATTTTTGATATTTTTATATATATAAATACTTGTAAATTTTTTCTTGCATGTGAAAAAAATAAAAAATACCAAAAATAAATATAAAAGGAATAACAACGCAGGTCCAACACCCATCTTCTCATGTCATTGTTCATGACTTCAAAGCTTAATTCTCAAGTATGGTTATACCCATTTCTTAACGATATCAAAATAATTTTTGTTTTATAAATGAATATTGTTTGTCGACATGTCTCTTTTATTTATAGAAAAGGACCGATGCCAAAAATTTAAATACCAAAAATAGACTATGTTCATTATTTCTTTTGGTAACCTAAACGTAATTCTGATTTTTAGGGACAAACGTCAATATTTTAGATGAGTCTCCTATTTTTTAGGGATTGATGTTATTTTTTTGACGTGTCTCCTATGAATATTGTCTGTCGACACGTCTTTTTTATTTACAGAAAAGGACCAATGCCAAAAATTTAAATACCAAATATGGATTATGTCAATTATTTCTTTTGGTAACCCAGACATAACTCTCCTTTTTAGGGTCAAATGTCAATAATTTAGATAAGTGTTCTATTTTTAGGGAGTGATGTCATTTTTGACGTCTCTTCTATTTTTAGGGACCGACGTTAACCATCTTTTAAAAAAACAAATTGTAAATAAGTTCAAAATGTAATAGCATTTGAATCAAATAAAAAACACACAAGTAAGGGTAACCTTTCTCTTGAAAGGATGTTTTAAAAGTGGTGTCTACCTTCCCTTAATCACAACTAACCCAATACCTGAATCTCTGGGACTAGTGTCAAATTTAGAATATTTAGTTTCATCAAATTACTAGATGGCGACTCCAATAAAATCTTCGTTTCTCCCAATCAAGAAAAATCTTTTTTTTTTGTTAAATAAATAAAAGAGTGGAGCTATCGACCGATGTCGTGTAGTGACAATATATACAAGTTAAATTTATATTACTAATTTTTATGAACTAAATTTAATTATAACTAAGATTTATGCCAATAAATTAGCTTAAAATGTGCTATAAGTTTTAACAAATAATCTAGACTTAATATATTAAATAAATCAATTAACTAAAATGAAAGAATTAATTGTAAAAAATATAAATAAATAAACGACAAGACATATAGCAACAAATATTTAAGTTTATTATTATAAGATATATATGCTAAGTTGAGTTTTCTATCCAGTAATATTTATTTTTTAGTTTTCTTAACTCGTTATTATCTATAATATCCATATAATAAGACCTTAACTGGTCAAGTTAAATAATACAAATAAGTAGATTTTTTTAAATATCGTTGTTCTATATATTTTTTTTTCATTGTATAGATAACCATATTATACATGGAATGATTTTTTATTTTCAATGGTTTTAAGAAACAATCCTTTATATTAACCTAATACATTAAGTAAAATATTTTTTTTTTTAGTATACGAGTTTAACCTTGGAATTGATTAACAAAATAGAAGGTGAGATGTGCACATCAAAACCATCTGTTGCTGGTGAAAGCTTGTTGGGTCAGCAGCGACGGTATTTACGATGGTTGCATGAAGTTTCCACTCCCAAGTCCACATTTCCTCATCTTATTGGTCTGAAAATGCAAGGACCATTAAATTAAGGCCTCACATGTATCAGATGCATGTATTTATCTTAATTACCCCCCCCCCCCCCCCCCCCCCTCCTATATATATACTCTCAATATCCATCGTCTCATCGGATCAAAGCATACACAAAACCATGGCAGAAACGGTATGATATATATTGTATGTGTTAATTTATCTTTTAATGCATCCTCTTAATTTGGCTTTTCTTCTTTTTACGTGGAGGTCCTATATATGTACAAGTTCTTGATAATCTCTACAGCGGATTCTTCCATGAACATGTTTTGAGTTCTTCCAATCTTTCTGTCTATAAATTTATCGTGAGATTTTCTTTGTTTTCTATTGGGATTAATGATCATGGTGAGGTCCTCTACAAAATGCATGCACTAACTACGTACTACTGTTACAGAAAGTCACAACGATGGTGATTAAGGTGGTTGACCTTGGATGCGAAAAATGCCACAAGAAAATCAAGAGAGTACTGTGTGATATCCCTCGTGAGTCTTTCTTTTTTTCTCTTTAGGAACAGTGCTAGGTTTGAGTTGTTTTTATGACCAAAGGAAGTTACTAAGTTTTGTGGATTTGATGATGTTAATTAATGAACAAGAGAAATCCAGAACCAGACATATGACAAGAAGGAAAACACGGTGACAATCACTGTGGTGTGTTGCTGTCCTGAAAAGATCAAGAAAAAAATATACTGCAAAGGAGGTCCAACTGTCAAGTGCGTTGAGATCAAGCCGCCACCAGCGAAGCCTAAACCAGAACCAAAACCAGAACCAAAACCAGAAACAAAACCAGAACCAAAACCAGAACCAAAACCAGAACCATGCACATGTTGTGAAAAGTGTTGTAGTTGCCGAAGTAGGTCAGGGTGTGATGGATGTGGAGATGGTTGTTGTAGTTGCCGAAGTAGGTCACGGTGTGATGTATGGGGAGATGGTTGTTGTAGTTGCCGAAGTAGGGGTTACTATGTGTGCAGAAGTGCATATGTTTGTGAAGAGTACTATCCCTCGGCGCCATGCACAATCATGTAAAGGGAAATCAAGTTCAGAAGACCGATGGTTTGAGTCAACGTCTGGAATCAACCGTTGGATTCAAATCCAGTGGTCATGATGGACCTTCGTGTTGTTGTGTTCATAATATCATCCCTTTTGTGCTGCTGCTGTTGTTTTGACCTCTTTCATCCAGATGATGCACGACTTTGTGCCTAGCTAGTATTTTCAAGTCAGCTAGTATTTTGAAGTCAATGGTCACAGTTTTTTCCATTGTTGATGGCTCAGTTTTTTCCATTGTTGATGGCTTGTTACATGTATGGTCAGCAAATATGGCTTGACCACCTAGTCTTTGTTTTTTATGCTCTCTTATCTTTGTATGGTCCCTTTGGATGTTTTCTTCCAAAGTGCTATTATTTGTTTCCAAAAACCCCTCTCCGTCAATTCTCTAGTCATTTTTGGCCGGATGAAATGCCCAGAAACATCATTCGACCGTGCTTTGTCAATTATAATATTTGTTTTCTTGAGATAATATTTTTAAAAAAAATTTTATTTTTAATATTAATACATTAAAATTATATGGCAGTACATAAAAAAATCTTTTAATCTGGGTATCAATACTGAAAATTATTATTTAAAATGCATAGCGCGGTGCGACAATATATTTTTGTTTTAAAAACACAGGGAGCGCCATCGTGGTGCCGTATTCCTAACTAGACTCAAAATAATAAAATAAAAACTCAAAATCTCACACTAGCTATCCATCCAAAATATAATAAGATTAAAACCCCAGACTGGACGTCTAAAGACTGGCTCTGAGCCTATGATATTATCCCAATACAAATTTTGTTAATTAATTGATAAGATATCTTTCGTTCCATAAAACCTTATAAATAAACTCATATAATTTATAAGATTTGACGCAGAGAGACCATCTTGTGTGATCAAACAATGAGGTCAACAAGGCTGGTGAGACGTATAAATATCATGGTAGGGTTACACGCATGTGAACTTATTGCTGATAAAAGCAAAAGGTTCCATTTTCCAATGGCGATGGTGATGGTGCGTGCACCTCCGTTTCTTTCACTCTCAGTTGCTTTCTTCAGTCTCTGACCGTATGATTGCTTCTGTGGTGTAAACGTGATCAAGCTTGTTTCCATGATAAAAAGGGTGCAAGCACAGCCATGTTTTAGGATTGTACTTGGAGGGAAGAGTCAATATTGTCTTATAATGGATTATCATTTTATAAACAAAGTTATTAAATATAACTGTTACTAACTAGATTAAATATATTAATTGATATCTATTTCTTAATTTTTTAAATTTAGTCATTAATTATTTTTTATTAATAAAAATAATTCTTAATTTATTTAATTAAATGTATATATAGTTTTTTTTCAATTTATAATCATAATTTCTTACATTAAAAGATATAAGGAAAAGACTTGTATATATTTATTTTTTCTGTTAAAAATAATAATATCTAACCCACAACAGTATAAACTGCATAAGGTGTTACTTGCAGCCCTGTTTTCGCCACTGGGCTCTAGCCAGTCCTGGTATAGCCATGTGAGCGATGGGCTAATTAATACATAGATAATGGATTGGTCCATGGCTTTCCTTGGATTCTCTACCTTCATGAGACAGCAGAGTAGAGGCACAAACTTGTAATTAGATTCATGTGATTCTCACGCGTCCCCTTCTAAAATCTAGAGGTAAACATTGCAGCCTTCGAAATGATTAACAAAATAGAAGGTGAGATGTGTCCATCAAAGCCAGCGCATGCAAGTGCATGATTGCAGGGTTAAATTAGATAATGTAAATACTGCAAGACCGATTATTTGAGTCAACGTCCAACATCAACCTTTGGATTCAAATCCCGTCCGTTGTCAATATTTATAGAAAATACCACAATCACTGATAATATTATAGATATATACAATTCATCAACAGTTGATAACTACTAACGAAATCATTGAAAGATGGTGCGAATTCCAAAGAACTGGTTATTAAATGCATATTTGACAATATACAGTTATGCATATTTGACAATACATAGTTACTAATAAAAATATTATTGGATTATTAAAAAAATATGACGTGTAATTAAAAATTTTATTGTAAAATTTAAAATTTACTAATATATTTTTTAAATATTATTAATAAAATAATTAAAATTATTATTATTAAAATATTTGTTGGTAAAACTATGCTATATATCCCAACAATCATCTCTTTTAATTTTATTTTTTTATCTGCTTCATTATCAATTTTTTATATTTTTTTCTTTTCATTTACTTCTAATTTTTTGTTTGTTTTATTTGTGATCTCTACTTGAATCTTCAGGAAATTAAGAGGTATGTATTTTGTTTACTTCGTTTTACTCTAAGATTTTTTTTTTGTTTTAGCTATTATTATTTTTGTTATATTTTTTTGTTATAATGTATTTTTATAATGTAGATAAAGTTTTGAAATAAATATATTATTAAGGTAAGCATTTTTCTTTTCTAATGTCTATAATTTTTTTTTTAATTTATTCAATATATTTTATTGTTTGTATTGCCATAATAATTGAATAATTTGTTGAATTTTAATTGTTAATGTTGAATTTACCTTGTACTATGTAAGAATAAATTTAATTATTTTTTTTAATTTTACTCTATTATTGTATGATAGGTGTTTAATTATGTAATTAGTAATTAATATATAGGAATATTTTATTGTGTGATACTGGATGAATTTAGAACTGAGATTTCTTCATTCTTGAAAGCTTTATAAAATCAGTGTTTAAAGATACCAATCGTTCTGTGGTTAGTAAGGGATATGTCCTTTAAATGGAGATGATTGTTTGGGCGTCCAGAAAAGGCTATCATATTGAAGAGTTAGTTTTATATTTAACATTCTTGTGGTTTATCATTAAAATCAACATACAATATCTGCAATCAACACTAGCACTAGCGCACAGCTGCACTCACATTTCAGTTTATACAATATTGTGACTGCTCATTGGCTTGAGTTTCGAGATACACATTTCATACGCGCATGGTAACACATCTTGATTGCTCTCATCTTCTTAGTTGTGGCGTGAACAACTACATAGATCAGAAAATCCCTATGCTTACTCTATTCCATAAATGTTTCAATGCCCTCTTCGTATAGCGTATAGATTCTCGTCATTATGCCTGTTGGACAATAATATTTGTTGAACTGTAAAATCCCAATTGAATTTTGAATAGTTAGGACATGGCTAGATAAACTTAGATATTTCCAAAAGTAGCAGGGTTAATGACCTCTTTTTATTGTATTGCATATTTTCTTTATTGATTGTTTCCCCTACTCATCATACGTTGGTTCTATTTCATGTATGGTTTTGTTGTTTGTTTTTTGTTTTGAAATTTTTAACTATAGACTACTCTGCATCTGAAATTGCTCACTAATCCTCAACATTGGTTGATTTTGGTTATGAATTTGTCACAAGTTCAATTACCTTCGTTGATAGAGTATTTAGGAGTTCAAAGCTAGGAGGTTCTGAAATTGTTGAATATTTGAAAGGCCTTGCAGATCTTTTGGTTACAACATAAGAAGCAATTCTGTTTTTATCAACTCGATGAGTTTTATAACACTTAATTTAAGGAGTTTGTAGTTTTACAGCAACACATTGCTTATCCTACTAAAAAATAAAAACAACTATTAGCGAGTTATAAATAACACATGGCTCATCTCACTAAAAAATACAAGCTACTCTCGGTGAATTATGGACAACGTCAAATGATCATGAATATAACATCATAGAGTAATGATATATGTACACCCCTTTTTGGCTATAAAAGAACCAGCCTCCTCTAGTTTCTCCTCCTCCAGCTCCACCATTGTGCTAAATTAATATTTTTTTTAAAAAACACATTCAATTTGTAATGAATATTATTTAATTTAATTTTTTTTATTGTTGATGTTTAATAAAATTTATTTGTATAATTGGTTTTTTTACTATTAATTTATATAATTTTATATTATTTACTTTTAATATTTTTTTTTAAAAATTTAAAATACTCACAGACGGATTTACAAATGGAATGTATCCGTCGACATTTCATAGAGAGTTAAAAAAATATTTACTGCAAATGCCACAATCACCGACGGTTTCACCGGTGGATATTGTCTATTAGCATTTTACCGAGAGCTGCAACATATTTACAGAATACATTCGTCGGTACATCTCTAGAGAGAATTGTTTTTGGCATGCAATTTCTGTCTATAAAACTATCGGTAATATTTTTTTTACCGACATACTTAGCGATGGAATACGGTATTACTGACAAAAGATATGTTGCCAATCTCTTTTTATTGGTGATTTAGTTAGTAAAACAATTACTGACGAACTCTTGATATCATATCAACGGATTATGTCCGTCGATAAAATAATAAAACAATTACCGACAAACTCTGAATCTCATACTAACGGATTATGTCTGTCGATAAAACTACGAAATCTTGTAGTGTGAATATAACAAGTTAATCAATTTAAAAAAAAAAATCAGGTAAGATGTAGAAAGAGCAAAATTATACTGTATAACATGTTTAGATAAAGAATTGATTTTTCTTTTGAGAATGAAGAACTTGTTGAACCCAAGTAAGTGGGCTAACTTTGCTTGATTTTTTAATTTATTTTTTACGCATGGCAGAAATATTAGCATCCTTCATTCATATCAATTAACATATTTAGTCATCGATCCTGGAGATGGAGAGATGGCTTAAACCAATTAAAATCAATAGTAAAAGGAGCAGTATTTGTTCCGATTAAAAAAATTAACCAAACTAAAATTGAGGATTGTTGGTGGAAAATGGTGAAAGGTTTTATGATGCCTGGATTCAATCCTTGTGTGACGATCGCAAGCATATATAAAATATTTTTTTGACAAGCACGTGAATAAGAAAACTACAATGAAAGAGTTTGTAGAGAAGCGCACAAGGAAGCTTAAATAGATAGAGAAAATTAAAGAAGAAGCTCTTGCTGATTTTAACATATGGTGTAGGAAGTCTCCATCGCCATTTGAAAAACATTAATTGTCAACAATCAATACTTTCGAGATCTTTAAGAAGGTTCCAAGCTGAAGTTCTTCATGTTATTCCTTGAAAGTAAGAGGTGAAGGCACAATCTCGATATTTAAAGATTTTACATTGAAAGAAGACTTTGTGGTTACTTGGGACGAGAAAGACGAGGAGTCGAGTTTTCTATTTCGTTCTTCTCTGTACAAGGGAATCATTTGTAGACATGTAGAGTGCCTGTGCTCCATAGCTTAGGCATTTTTCAAATTCCATCTCGATATATATTAGTCGATGGACAAAGCATGCAGAAAAGATTACAAAATACTAAGAAAATATCCGAGCATGTGCAACTAAGGAGAGTCAATGTAAGAACTGTTA